TTGAGCTATAGGCGCCGAGCCCAGAAATCTTTAAATTTGATAAAGCTGAATCTTGTTCAACAATTCTCTCTTTTCCTCGCTTACTTACTTTGCTTGTGGATAGCATTTTTGGGGTCTTGTTTGAGAAGTCCATCCTAATTCTGTATTTCCTGCTATTAGCATTTAATAGTGAGTGATTAGCTGTGCAATGCACCTGAAGTTCATCTCGGTACAGGGTAGGAGATCTCAGCATTTCAATTCAGCATTTCAATGCAGTGACTCTGTATTCCAATACCATCCAGTGATAATCAGTCTTTTCCCTCTCTGTTAGCGGTGCTGCTGCCAATACATACAGGTTCTCACATACTCATGGTCTGTTGCTGAACTCTCTGTTTTGTTCCACTGGTCTACTTTTTCCTGTACGTGTACCATGTTTAATGCTATCGTTTTGCTTTATGTTTCCTCACTTACTATTTAACAAACATGGTAAGTTTTATGTACTTGGTGCTAGTCTAAGTGCTTCAAAAAATATCTGTAGGTTATATGACAGAAATAGTAATAAGCTATAGGGTTAGATACTGTTATTGTTTTCATCTGGTAACTGAGACCCAAGGTTGTTACTAACTAGTCTAAGGACCCATGTGAAATGCAGCCATTCAGGCCATTCGTGGAAGGTGCCTTCTACTTCGTTATTTTTTTAAAAAATGTTTTATCCACTTCATGGTCTTTATTATACTTTAAAAACATTATAACTACTATTGAAATTTCCATAGAAAATTCTCCTAGAATTTTGGTTGGAATGAGATTGCATTTATGGTAAGAATTTTCACTGTGGTAACATGAAATCAGACCCTCAATAAAAATGATATACTAAATTATACATCTCTGTTAATTCAGGTTTTCTCTTATGCTCTATAATATAGTTACTAAATTTTCTTTTTTGTTTTTGCAGTTTTTGGCCAGGGCCAGGTTTGAACCCACCACCTCTGGTATATAGGGCCGGTGCTCTACTCTTTTGAGCCACAGGTGCTGCCCTACTAAATTTTCATGATAAACTTTTTTTTTTTTTTTTTTTAGTTTTTGGCTGGGGCCAGGTTTGAATCCATCACCTCTGGTATATGGGGCCCATGCCCTACCCCTCTGAGCCACAGGTACTACCCCATGATAAACTTGCTGTCACCCTGGGTAGAGTGCCGTAGCATCACAGCTCACAGCAACCTCCAACTCCTGGGCTCAAGCGAGTCTCCTGCCTCCACCTCCCAAGTAGCTGGGACTACAGGCACCCGCCACAAC